CATAACCTGTCTCAAGAATATTGTGGGAATTCGCTAACGGACTGGGAGGAAAACGAATGTGAATAAAAATTACATATAGTCCTTCTTCCGTAAAATTAGATAAAATAACACGAATTTTTAATGTGATGAAATATTAGGCTGGGGACTGTAATAAATATAGTTATGAATAAAAATTCGTAAAGACCTAAATAAATATATCTGTACTTATAATAACATGAGAGAATATAAAATGGAAAATACAGTGTGGCCAGAAAGTCTTTTCCCAGATCTAGTCGCGAATTCCCATTCAGGAGATAACAATACAAGCAGAAACCCCGATAAAGATCCTAGCCGGCGCCCATCAACCGAAAAGAATGAGCAGGACACGGGCCATCAAGCTAACAAAGAAACGAGCTCGGAGGAGATACCCATCTCTGGACCTGAACATCCCACCTGGCCAACCACTGTTGGGGAAGCAATCAGGCTGACAAAGGAACGAGCTCGGAGGAGATGCCCATCGCCAGACTTGAACACCCCACCCGGCAAACCACTGTTGAAAAAGCAATCAGACTGGACAAAGGGAAAAGCCCAGCCAAGATATTCATCAGCTCCAACCCGGATCCCACCACTCCATCCTGATGGCCCAAACCAAAATGAAATCAAGACTCTCTTTACATATGAGGAGACTCTGCCCGGACATCTATTAACTCTATTCTCCAATGCCAGGAAATCCATTCACCCAACAATCAAGGACCTTTGGTGAATGGTGCCTGCTCGGAATTTGGCCTCAGGACACAAAATCCCTATAAAAACCCAGACCCGAAACCCCTCAGTTGTGGATTTGGGTAAATCTGTACCTCTGGGCATAGACCCCTGTCCACCCAGCGCTGCGCTGATCTATTTTATTGTGGTTTTTTTCTCCCGTTTGTGATTGAATTGTTTTATAATAAATCGCTGTCTATATTAATCATATTTTGCCGTTGCATTTATAACAGATTGGTGCCGTGACTCGGATCGGAGAAGCTGTGGGAGAATCTCGCTGTCCAGGATGGGTACCCCCGCTGATTTCGGCGGCCTGGTGAGTCGAGAGTCTCCGCAGTTCGTTCCGACATCCGAACCAAATTTAGGCTAAGGCAAAAACCACAATAAAAAGAGAGAGATACGGATCCAGAGAGCTCAAGCAAGGCGAGGAGCCTTCGAGAAAACTGCGGCTTGGTAGCTCGTAAAAAGTCGACAGTGAACGAAGACGCCCTCGCAGGAAAAGAGCTGTAAGTACTGTGGGGTTGAGCTGGTGATTGGGCAGCGTGTGTGAGACGTGATCTGATCACGGAGCGAGTGCGGACTTCAAGGCCGCGGTTCCATCCTCCCGCGAGGGAATTGGCCAGCCGCGAAGGAAGCGATTCGGTGTGGGAAAGTTCTCTCTCTACACGTTTGTAAAACCTGGGACTAAAGGGAGTCCCGGGGGACTGATCACAAGGGGTCTGAAAGGGGAAGAGGACGTCCTGTCGAGCTCGGGAATTAGTAAACCCTTTCAGTCAACGGACCTAGGCAAAGGTCCAAGAGAGAATCGAAGTGCTGAATACAAGAGACCCCAGTACAGCTAACTGCGAGGTGAGTATTAGCAAAGACTTTGATTCATCTGGTAAAGGCGGAACGAACACAACGCAGGAAAGGTAAGATATCTCTCAATATGGGACAAAGAAAAAGTAAGATGCAGAAAAAGGGTAATGAAAAGGGTCCCTCTGAGAGAGAGAGGGGATCACTGGACATCCCACTGGAAAGTCCCTTGAGATGGATGTTAAAATATTGGGAAAATTGCCCTGAGAGAAAAAAGAAATCTAAGGCAAAAATGATCTGGTATTGTACCGAGGTCTGGGGAGGGCAAGAACTGAGAAACCACCTCACTTGGCCTGTGTTGGGCACATTTGAAAGGTGGACGTGTAACGAGTTGCTCTCTTATGTGGAGAACAAGGACCCCGAGGAGAGGGAATATGCTAAGCTCTGGTTAAACGCCAGGGTAGGGCTGTTCCCAATGAAACAAAAAGAAAAACGTGAGTCGAAAACTGAATCCTGGGAACCCCTTGACCACTTACCTCCCCCGTACCATGGACCGGCTGGGCCGTCCTCCCCAGAACAAGTGGTGCCTTCAGCACCTTCGGGCCCCCGAGACCAACCCACTGGGATGCATGTATCCCAAGCGGGAGACTCGGTGCCGGCAGCGAGGCCGGCAGCCCTTCCCCTTTCCCCGCCTGCAAACACCGCAGCCACAGGAGTCTCCTCAGAGGTTTCTCCGGCACAAGGCTGGGGACAGCTCTATCCGTCCTTGCCGGTCCGGCCGCCACAGCCGGGACCCTCACACTTAACTGAATGGGTCCCTACCGGTAACCGGGTGACGGCAGAGTTCCCACAATCAACAAAAGGAAAAACCCCCACAAACCTCAGTTCCCCTCCTGCAAGTAGAACTGGTTTGAAAGCAAAAATGATGGGCGAGGAGGGGGGAGAAAGTATTGAGAATGAGCACCGGTTGTTCCCTCTTAGGGAAATACCGACAGCCCCGGGGATAATTGGATTTGTAAATGTTCCCCTTAATTCAGGGGATGTACGAGCTTTTAAAAAGGAGATAGGACGGTTGCTGGATGACCTGTTTGGGGTGGCTGAAAGATTGGATGACTTTTTAGGAAGTAGTATTTATACGTATGATGATTTAATGGCAATTCTGAGATCACTGTTTAATCAGGAGGAGAGAGAAATGATTAAGCAAGCCGGTATTAGGGATTGGAACCGACGCAATCCGCAGGGGACACCAGGCGACCAAAAGTGGCCCAGTGTGAGCCCGAGCTGGAACACCCAGACGGAAGAGGGCAGGCGAAGTATGATAGATTTAAGAAATATAATTGTGCAGGGAATAAGGGAGGCGGTTCCCCGAGGTCAAAACATTAGTAAAGTGTTCGGGGAATGCCAAGGTAAAGAGGAATCGCCCACAGAATGGGTGGAGAGGCTACGGCGAAGTCTTCAGATATACTCTGGGACAGACCCGAACTCTCCTATGGGAGAGGTCCTACTCAAGACACAATTCGTAGCAAAATCTTGGGAGGACATTAAGAGGAAACTGGAGAAAATTGACGGATGGCAGGATAAAAGCCTCCAAGAGCTTCTGAGGGAAGCTCAAAAGATATACATGAGAAGGGAGGACGAAAAACAAAAGCTACAGGCTAAGGTGTTGGTAGCCGCGGTCAAAGAGGTTCAGAAGCAAGAACAAACGCATGGTAAGTTTAAAATTTTACCCAGAGAACAGAAAAGTCCGCACCAGGCAGCCCCTGACCCACGGAGAGAGCTTCCCGAGTGTTACTATTGTAAAAAGGTAGGACACATTCAGCGAAACTGTAGTAAAAGGATGAAAGATGAAAAGATCTTTCAGGAGGATTAGCGGTGTCTGGGGCTCTTTAATTTGGGGACTGAAACATCCAAGGAGCCCTTGATAAAACTAAAAGTGGGTCCCCAATGGCAGGAGGTAAGCTTCCTGGTAGACACCGGAGCAGAAAGGAGTACTCTGCAAAAATTGCCAGAGGGGTCTGTGGCAAGCAGGGAAAAGGTTTTTGTAATTGGAGCCAAGGGAGATCCTTTTAAAGGTGTCTGTAATAAAAGATGTGGAAATAGAATCGAAAAATAAAATTTGCCGAGGAAATTTGTTACTTGTAGAAGAGGCGGATTACAATTTATTAGGAAGAGACATGATTGTTGCATTGGGTATTAATATTGTTGTTAAAAATTCTGAATTGATGGTGAAGATATTTAAATTGACTCCAAAAGATGAAGAGGAAATTAACCCCAGAGTGTGGCACTCAAAAGGGGAAGTAGGAAAACTAAATATTAAACCTATTAAAATTGAAATAGAGGACCCCGAAGACCCGATAAGGGTCAAACAGTATCCCATCCCGATGGAGGGGAGGAGGGGATTGAAACTAGTAATTGATGACCTTCTCAAAGGGGGATACTACGGAGACTGCACGAACAGACCCACTGGGGAACTCGGGCTTTAGCCGAGCAATTTCTTAAATTTTTCGGGTGCAAAGGAATCTTCGAACTCGCCAAACAAGAGGCGCAAGGATGTGTGATATGCCAGAAAACAAATCGATCGAAATTTAAGCAATCAGCCTGGGGAGGTCGCCCTCTCTCATACAGGCCATTTGAAAGAATCCAGGTGGATTTCACTGAGCTACCAAAAATCGGTAGATACAAATTCTTATTAGTAATAGTAGATAAGTTGACACATTGGGTGGAAGCTTTTCCCAGGGCAAGGGCCACAGGCCAAACCGTGTCGAAAATTTTGTTAGAAGAAATTATTCCCAGATATGGGATAATAGATTATATCGATTCGGATCAAGGCACACACTTTACATCCAAAATTATCAGACAACTATCAGAAGCATTAGGCATAAGATGGCAATATCACACCCCTTGGCATCCTCAGAGTTCGGGACAAGTGGAAAGAATGAATCAGACGCTAAAATCACAACTATCCAAACTTATGATTGAAACTAAAATGTCATGGATCAAATGCCTTCCCCTTGCACTACTAAATATAAGAACCATGCCGCACTCTGAAACAGGTCTGTCCCCCTTTGAAATGTTATATGGGATGCCATATAAACATGGGATGCCAGTGGCACACCCTCAGGTGGAGGATGTGCAGATTCAACCATATCTCATTTCCATAAACAAAAATTTACAGGAGCTGAGGAAAAGAGGACTGATTCCCCAAAGTGCAACATTGGGATTTCCAATCCACCAGATACAGCCTGGGGATAAAGTTCTGATCAAGGCGTGAAAGGAGCTTCCCCTCAGCCCTCACTGGGAGGGACCATTTCTCGTCCTCCTGACAACAGATACCGCGGTTCGGACGGCCGAAAGGGGCTGGACACACTCCTCTCGAGCAAAGAAAATACCGGATTACAAATCCTCCGAGTGGAAAGTTACCACCCCTCCGGGAGAGCTGAAAATTAAACTCCGGCGTCACCACAAATGACAAGTGAAGGGCAGATAAGTTGCATTAATTCAGATTGTTATTGTTTTCCATTTGTCCATTTCAAGTGTGCTTATTGTAACCAAATTTGGGTGGCTCACTGTTTGGGAGGGTACAAACCCAAGGGATTGTGTACCAAGTGTCTAGAAAAAGAACAAAGGCAAACTAACCTTTTTCTAATACTTGCCACCAGGGCGGGACTCTTGGAACTCGACTCTCCCAAGTGGTTCCTGTTTTTTCAAAAGGGGTTGAGAGGTAAACTAGACTGTAAAGCAGAACCTTTAATAATCGAGTGTCGAAAGACGATAAAGGTACCGTGTAGGACAGATACGATCAAAGCGTCTCGGTGGGCTGCTTTCAAGAGAAGGTACGCCATAAGGACTTCAAGGGCCCCTGAAGACAGTCCTTGCTGCCGAGAAGATGGCAATCCCCGCCGTATGTTCTTATACGAGCGAAGGGCGTGGCAGAGGGATTCAATGGTGGGGAATCCTGACAGTCCTGAGTCTAGCCGTGTGCTTGGCCGAGGGAACGAGTCCCAAGGCACCTCCGGGGGAGCGTCCCCTGGGGAAGTGTGAGCAGTGTCGAACTGCCACAAGAACCGAACGTATGATCAACTGTCCTCCGGAACTACGAGCGGGGTTATGCTGGTCTAATGTCACTCAGTATAATCTGTGTAAATTGGAAGGGGAGGTTTGGTGTTCCCGCCCAGGGGCAAGTTTTAGGAATGGACAGCTTCAAACTCTTGAAGAACAAAAACCCCAAACGACCCATTTCAAGCACAAAAGGGAGGTGGGGGGAGTCCCTCCGATCTCAATATGTGGCCAATGTAATAAAACCGTCTGGATCGGAAGAAAAAGGCAGTCTACTTTTATAGCATACTACAAAATCAACCCCCTATGTTACAATAAAGCGAACTTGAAAACGTGTACTATAGGTGGAAAAATGTATTGAGAAGGTAGAAATTTGAAACATGAAACAAAAACTTCCGTCAACAATGAGCCCGTAATTTTAGATTTGTTAAAAAGTGATGACGACCGGGTGTGTTTGCAATTCGACCAGGTATTCTGTTTTTCTAGAGATGAGGAAGGATTAGATCCAGAAAGCAAAATAAAACAACTGACCCTAGAATTAAAAAGACTAGAAATAGAGAATAAAAGAAAAAGGTTGGAACAAGAGAGACTAAATTCTCTCAGTGAACATTACGAACAATTGGAAAAACAATATAGTAACTGGGGATTACCAAGCCCCAATCAAAACCTATTCATAGACCTGATGCAAGAAATCGCCACCGAATTAGGTCTATCAAATTGTTGGATATGTGGTGGCTTAAAATCGGCCGAAAGATGGCCATGGAAGGGAGAAGGACTAACCCCAGAACAACTTTTAAAATGGAAAGGCCTAAAATTGTCAAAAACTACACGAAGACCCGAGGGATGGGTGATAGATCAGAGAATAATTGGGACTTTCTGCATTAGCAGAGAAGGAAAAGAATTCACCGATTTGGTAGGTTATACCCCGTGTATAAACACCCTCACGGTGAATTCAGACAGCAAAACAAAAGTCTGGCAACCCGAACCACCCGAGGGTTATTGGAGTCACTCTCGGGATAATAACTGTGAATGGATAGAAATAATTGGACTTTGTTGGTACAAGAATCCTGGGGCCAATCCCTTCCATGCATTAATAGGCCTGAGAGAATATTGGGATGATCCGGCAAAATCGAACAAGGGCTGGGAAGCACCAGATGGCATATATTGGAGATGTGGAAAAAAAGCATACAGTGAGTTACCTAGAAGGTGGAAAGGATCCTGCACACTCGGAATAATTCGGCCCTTTTTCTTTACTTTGCCCAAAGACGAGAGTAAGTCTTTGGGAGCTCCCCTCTTTGAAACATTAACTAGGCAAAAGAGGGAATTAAAACGGGAATTACCAATGGCGGGAGGCAACCATAAATGGAAGGAGGAAGAATGGCCTGCCGAAAGGATTATTCAATATTATGGGCCCGCTACGTGGGCAGATGACGGCAGCTGGGGTTACAGGACCCCCATTTATCTCCTCAACCGACTTATCAGGTTGCAAGCGGTGGTAGAGGTAGTTTCCAATCACACTTCAGAAGCCCTGGAACTCCTAGCAAAACAACATTCGCAGATGAGAGCTTTTGTGTATCAAAACCGATTAGCTCTCGATTATCTGCTAGCGGAGGAGGGAGGAGTGTGCGGCAGATACAATGAATCCGAGTGCTGTATGGAAATAGACGATTACGGGGAAACAATAAAAGGATTGGCTGCTGAAATAAAGAAAGTAGCACATGTACCAGTCCAAAAATGGAATTCGATTCTGCAAGCCTCCTGGTGGGACCAAATATTCGGGCAAGGGGCTTGGTGGAAGAAGTTAGTATTCTTCATAGTCTGTTCAATTGCCGGAATCATTTTTCTTCCCTGCTTAATTCCTTGCTTCATCAGACTAATTCAGTCTGTTGTGCAAGGAATGCAGATTGCCGCCCTTCCAATCGATCCTGAAAAGGCACAAGGGAAACCTACTTCCCTCTCCAAGCTAATGAAATTAGAGGAGGAAAAAGAAAACAAAAACGCAATTAAAGCTTTAAAGAACTTTGAAAATAAACATAACCTGTCTCAAGAATATTGTGGGAATTCGCTAACGGACTGGGAGGAAAACGAATGTGAATAAAAATTACATATAGTCCTTCTTCCGTAAAATTAGATAAAATAACACGAATTTTTAATGTGATGAAATATTAGGCTGGGGGCTGTAATAAATATAGTTATGAATAAATATTTGTAAAGACCTAAATAAATATATCTGTACTTATAATAACATGAGAGAATATAAAATGGAAAATACAGTGTGGCCAGAAAGTCTTTTCCCAGATCTAGTCGCGAATTCCCATTCAGGAGATAACAATACAAGCAGAAACCCCGATAAAGATCCTAGCCGGCGCCCATCAACCAAAAAGAATGAGCAGGACACGGGCCATCAAGCTAACAAAGAAACGAGCTCGGAGGAGATACCCATCTCTGGACCTGAACATCCCACCTGGCCAACCACTGTTGGGGAAGCAATCAAGTTGACAAAGGAACGAGCTCGGAGGAGATGCCCATCACCAGACTTGAACACCCCACCCGGCAAACCACTGTTGAAAAAGCAATCAGACTGGACAAAGGGAAAAGCCCAGCCAAGATATTCATCGGCTCCAACCCGGATCCCACCACTCCATCCTGATGGCCCGAACCAAAATGAAATCAAGAATCTCTTTACATATGAGGAGACTCTGCCCGGACATCTATTAACTCTATTCTCCAATGCCAGGAAATCCATTCACCCAACAATCAAGGACCTTTGGTGAATGGTGCCTGCTTGGAATTTGGCCTCAGGACACAAAATCCCTATAAAAACCCAGGCCTGAAACCCCTCAGTTGTGGATTTGGGTAAATCTGTACCTCTGGGCATAGACCCCTGTCCACCCAGCGCTGCGCTGATCTATTTTATTGTGGTTTTTTTCTCCCGTTTGTGATTGAATTGTTTTATAATAAATCGCTGTCTATATTAATCATATTTTGCCGTTGCATTTATAACACAATTGACCCAGAAAAGGCACAAGGGAAACCCACTCCTTTCTCTAAACTAATGAAGTTAGAGGAGAAAAGAGAGAACAAGAAAGCAGTTGAAGCCTTAAGGAAATTTGAAAATAAAAACAACCCTTCTCAGGAAAACTGTGAGAATTCACTTACAGACTGGGAAGAGGACGAATGTAGTTAAAACTCCACAGTTCTCCCTCATTAGAAATGAATGGAATAACACGAATTTTTTATGTGATAAATTATTAGGCGGGGGACTGTGATAAATGTAACTTTGGATAAAAAATTCGTGAAAGAATAAATAAGTATATAACTGTATTTATAACAATGTAGAACATATAAAATATAGTGTGGCCTAAAGGTTCCTCCCCAGACCCAGCAGTAACTACCCATTCAGGCGATAACGACCCTAGGCGATGCTTATCAGCCTGAGAGAAAGAGCAGGACACAGGCAATCAGGCTAGACAATGAGAGGAGCCCAGCCGAGATGCCCATCGGCTCCACACCGGACCTGGACACTTCACCCTGAGAGCCCAACCGAAGATACAATCAGGAAGCACTCAGAACCTTTCACATGCAAAAGGACTCTGCCCAGTTGTCTATTGATTCAGTTCGACGGTTGATTGGATTCAGGAAATCCATTCAACCAACCATCTAGACTCTTTGTTGAACAGTGACTGCTCGGAGTTCGGCCTCAAGACACAAAATCCCTATAAAAACCCCGGACAGTCAACTCTCCGTGTGGATTTGGGTAAATCTGTACCTTTGGGTATAGACCCCTGTCCACCCAGCGCTGCGCTGATTTATTTTATTGTGGGTTTTTCTCTCGTTTGTGATTGAAATTGTTTTATAATAAATCACTGTTTATATTAACCCTATTTTGCCATTGAATTTATAACAGCAGCTACAATACTGGCAAAATTCAAGGCCCAAGTGAAAGATAGAAAAGGGGAATATGAGAGCTATTGCATCCGAATGGAAGAGGAAGGAAAAGATAATAGGACCCTGCCCTAAGAATTCAAATTTTATAAAGATAATACAGCAAACATTGAATTATAATAACAATATAAAACAGCAAGGGATTGTAATATATGGTTGTATAATTTGTGTTTTATTATACATGTATATAAGCAGTAAGAAGAAATATAAACTGGTTACATGTATCAAACACACATGCATAGCAAGGAGTTGCAACACGACAGCCCGGAGCCAAAGGAGAAGGACAATTTGCAAAGGAACAGAATGGCACCAAGGAGAACAAGGCCCACCCAAGCAAGATCTGCGTACTAACAACTCAGTGATTTACGCCTGATACCGACTGATCTGATTCTCCAAACCATGCATCTCAATACTCAGTTCCCATAACTCCCCCTTCTGTGGAACTTCATTAACAAACCAAACAGAAAATATCTCCAGATCATGCATCTCAAAACTCAGTTCCTGTAAAGCCTCTCAAACATTTCCTCCCTTAGTTAACAAACCTACAGTAAATGTGAATATGCAACAAACCCTGGGAAAAAGAACTGTACAGCCTCAGGCTGTAGAAACTGTATAAAGGCTGTAGAAACTGTATAAAAACTCACTCCTCCAAAGGACAGACCTTTGGGTGACCTTGGGGGAATCAGGGCGGTAGAGACTGATTCAGAGTTCACCCAGCACCGATCCTGGGCTCGACATTTCAACCTTAATTGTGATTGTGGTTGTTTCCATAACTAAATTTTACAGATTTTTCAGTAAAATTATTATTGATAAATTGGGCTGCATTTCATTTATAATAATAATTTTTACCATCTTTGCAATGACACTGGTCATGCGAAATGTCCACCAAAAGACATTTCTTAGAAGGATTATATAAACTATGTTTATAGTTACTTTCCTGGGAAAGTGTCTTTAATATATGTTGGTATAATTCACGTCTTAAAATCAGGTATAAAGCTTTTTTTTCTTGTATAAAACACAAACTACTTGGGATTGCAAAAGCTGCTGCTGAGAACCCAGGAAGAGGAGTAATTTGCAAGAAAACAAAGATAGCACCGAGAGAAGATGGGTCCACCCGGGCAAGATGGGCTCACCAACGACCCAGTGATTAATGCCTGATACCAATCGAGTCTAATGTCTAATTCCTCAGGACTATGCATCTTAATGTCCAGTTCCCAAAAATCTACTCAAACTCTTCCCTTCTCCGAAATCTCATTGTGAGCTTTGGGGGAACCAGTGCGATAAAGGCTGGTTCAGAGTTCACCCAGCGCTGACCCCAGGCTTGACACTGACTTTGATTGTGGCTGTTCTGAAATTTGATTTTTCAAATATTTCAGTAAAATCCTTATTGATAAAATTTGGCTGATTTCATTTATGACAGTGTCTAAAAACTATGAAAACAAAATCAGAAGGCTCATTTTTCAGGGCCACAGCAGTGTGGAGTACTGCAACGGTCCAGACCTACAATTAGGAAGGTGAGATGCTGGGGACAATGGGAGCTCAAGTGTCAACCAAAGAAAAAGCTCAAGTGTCAATCGAAGAAAAAGCTCTAGTGGTTTTATGGACTCTTTCGTTGGGCGAACGAGGGATAAAATCTGATAAACAGGTGCTGCAAACTTTATTGCTGTGGTGTAAGAGCCAAGGGGTGGATGCTACCATAGAAGCTGCATTTAGTTTTAAAAACTGGGAAAGGGCTGGTGAATTGATTTTTTGAGTCAGTCTTTAGAGGCAATGAGACTGGTATAAATATTATCACTCCCTGGGGGCTGGTGCTGGATATCTTGAAACTTCTGAAAGCTGAGCAATGCAGGAGCAGCAGCTGAGGCACCATGGGCACCCATGACAAGACACCCAGTGATGGTGGAGCACAAGAGGGAGCGGTTGGGGGAGTAGGTGCCACATTGAGTTCACAGGCAGAAAGGACTGATGAGAAACTAGAAGGGGAGTGGCTGTCATCTGAGCCTCCTATCCCTGCAACACTGCCCATGCCATGCACACCTTGTCCTACACCCCCGGTTTCTACAAACCCGTTCTATGTTCCTCTGCCTACAGGTGACTGGAGAGGTAATGGACATGCCGACAGCCCCACCAGTGCTCAATATGCCCAATCACAGCCTCAGCGTGGAAATAGGAGCTGGGGACAGAGCAGCACTTGGCACCGAGAGTTCCAACAGGGAGCTGCCAGCACCCAGGGCCATGGGATGCCACATCCCACCATGTCCACAGCCAGAGCCTGAGAAGCCCAAGGAACCCCCTCCATTAATAAATTTATTGGATCTTAATGGGGGGGGGGGCATTGTCGCCCCCTGCTGGCCCTCAGGAGGATGTTTTTACCATCAGCTACTATCTTGGCATATGATCCAGTTAGGTTTTGGCAGCATATGAAATTAATGGCAGTTGTTAGTGGGGATCTCAAAGGCACTGGATGAATTTCTGTACCTATGCCCCAACTGTTCTCAGGTGGCCTAGAGCTGCAAAACAACAGGACTGTGCCATATATACATGTCGCCGTTAAAGTTTTCTCCCAGTTACGCCAGCTGGCCACCAAACGTGGACTGGGGTCTCCAGCTGTAGCAGACATGTTACAGTTTCTACCTGCTGAGGAAATGACAACCTTTGATATAAAGCAAATAGTGAGGTTGCTCTGTACCCAGATTCAATACTTGCTGTTTGAGTTCACCTGCTGGCAATGTGGGGAAGAGCAAGGGCTGTGTAATTTAAAGGTGCTGCAGCAAGATCCACGCTTTGGGGTGGGGGTCACTGAACTTCTGGGATTGCCTCCCGTAAATGACCCCCCGTTGCAAGCATGCCTAAATCCCTTAATATTTTTCACAGGCAAGAGATTTAGGAATGCAGGCCCTGATGAAAGTTGGAAACAATTTGGAAGCAATAGTAACAGCAACTCAGAGATATGCAACAATTAAGCGGGGCCCCAAAGAGCCTTATATGCAATTTATAGAATGATTACAAGATGCAGTGGAAAAGGAAATAGTAAATAATGATGAAAAAAATCAGCTGATATTGCTACTGGCACGAGACAATGCAAATGAAGACTGCAGGAAAGCTATAGAACTATTACCAAAATAAAATCCATTCTTAGATGAAATGATTGATGCACATGCTGAAGTTGGAACTGTATCCTATAACATGGCTTTGTTAGCTGATTACTTAGTAGGTGCTATGAAGCTGTCGTGCCAATGCTATGGATGCAGGCAGTAAGGCCATATAAAAGCAAATTGTCCCTGGAAGTCCATCTCACTGGGGACACATCAGAAACAGAGAGCTCTGCCTATAGTGGGAAACTGTTAGTGATGCAGAAAACCCGGTCATTTTGCCAAGCAATGCAAGTCTAAATTCCATGCTAACAGACAACCTCTTAGTGGACAGGAAAACAGGAACAAGATTGCCAAGGGGAAGCGTGTGCAGACACAAGCACCTTCCTGTCCCCCAGTGCAGGCCTATGTGACCAGCTCACAGGGAAAACAAGAGGATCAGCTGTCATGGTTGTTTCCATCACTGACACAATAACTATGGACTCATTAAAGGTATATAAAATCCCCCTTGAGGCCCATGGGCCTATTGGGAAAGGTTTACATGCATTATTATTAGGACAATCAAGTGCAATATGACAGGGTATTTTTGTTCACCCTGGAGTTACAGATGCAGACTATACTGGACAAATATGTGCTATGGTACCAACACCTACTCCTTCTGTAACCATTCCAGCTAAAAGTCATATTGTTCAACTTGTACCTTTTAAATCTTTTGTTCCTAAAACAGTCTCAAAGCTGCAAGCAATCCGAGGTTCTGGCTCAGTGGGGGAACCTCAAGTATACTGGACTCAGGTCATATCTGATAGAAG